ATCATGTCAATCGTCGGAAAGGTTGCCTTCCCATTGCTCGCCACAGTTTCCCCTCCATCGTCATCGTCAAAGATCAATTCTTCGTTGTTCTCGCTGATTGCCATCTGTTTGTACTGGTTTACAATCTCTTCCATTGAACAACTCCGTGTGTGCCGTCGATGCAGACCTTTTGCAATACCTCACCCTGAGTCTCGATTGCGCACGTCTCACAAAAACAGTAGAGCCGCTCCTCGGTAGAGCCGATAGCCGACAAATAAACCCTAGCGGCAAAAAATCGCCCTAGAGAAAGAAGCAAAAGAACACTTATATCGCCTGGAAGCCCACGATCGACAGCTCCACTCTGGTTCCACGGCGGCGGCAATATGCTAGGGTTCACAGAGCTCCCTAGGCAATAGCGTTTGAAAGATCTGGTAACTCAATATGACGCACTAGCATGATTCATGATGTGAGGTTCCATAAAAGTACTTCTTCAATTTTATTAAACAAAGGTAGGGTCATGTCTTGAAAAAGAAAAAAACAAATAATTTTTTTATCATCAAAACAAACCACTTATATATTAATATTATTAGCAATCAGATCGTTACAAAAAACTCAAAAAGACTAACCCTGACAACAACTATCCCTAACCAACTAGCACTATCAACCCTACGGCTAGACTCAGAGATGATCACCCCTAAAAGAGCAATACGAATCGCTAACCACCAAACGGGTGTGACACGGCAATCACTGGCCATATAGATCCTTCTGACGACATAATATCTAGCAGAATTGACAATCATAATTGTAGACCTAAAACTAAAGACATCAACAAAAAACAGAGCAACATAAAACATAATGCAAAAATAAAATCATAAAAAATTAAATAACCGATACATCTTCCAAATCCTATCATCTCAATCGCTCCAAGGCGGCGGTTCAGGAGGGGGGCGGTCCGTCGATCTGTCTTATCCCTTGCTCAGTCCTTCACTTCTCCCCGTCTTCTCGTCGCACGTTCCACTTCCACTACCACCACCGCCCTCTACCCATTTTGATTCACCAGAAACTAACACTTCGACCTCCTCCTCAATTGCAGGAATGAGACAACACTGCTCTAGATCATTCATATAAGACATGATTATCATTTCTTGAACCTTGGATTCGTTTCCAAAGGCTGCAGCCACACTCACGCCTCCTTAAAAAGCACTCTAGAAGTCTAGAGAAGAAGAGCCGCACAAACAATTGGCGGAAAGAAACCCTACGCAACGGCAAAGCCGCTAGGGAGACAAATCCCTACGCGACGGCAACACCGCTAGGGAGAAACGTTGATTAGGGTTAGAGAGACGTTAAATCATTTTTTATCTTTCAAAAGTGTATATTTAAACAAAGGTAGGTCATATTTTATCATTCTTTAAAAATTCCATTTATTTTTCAAATTATTCATCATTGTAAACGAATTTGATTGGCACTAGAATTTGCGATCTTTGCTATTTGTGCTTTGACGAAGCCATACACCACCTTCTCTTATCCAGGGAGGATTTTCTTAATCTTAATTTTATTTTTCTTGTTTATCTCTCAACCACACGCATAACAAGTGCAAGACATAAAAGATTTTTTTTGTGCAAGTGTGCATGGGTGTGTTTGTGTGTGAAAATTGATATTTTCACTTTATGATTATTTTAAAGTTTTGTTTCACATCTCCATGTTCTTTTTACTTTGCACCCGAGTTGTGCAAAGTCCCATATTAGACCATACTGAAACAGACCAAACCAGACCGTATTATATTATTATTATTATTATTATTATTATTGTTGTTGTTGTTGTTGTATATTACTACATATTATTATTTATATTAGGGAAAATCACATTTTGGTCCCTCAATTAGCATCATATTGAAATGTTAGACTCGTGTTTATGAGATTGTAAATGTCACCTCCGAATTGGCAGAGTTGTAAATGTCATCCTCGATGAGTTTATTGATGGTCTAGAATTGGAGATGGTTTTTTTATGAGTTTTTTTATCAAAAAAAAAAGAAATGGAGATGGATTATAAACGGTGGGGGCGGATGACATTCAATTAACAACACATTTATCAATTCGGGAGTGACATTTTCAATCTCAGAAATATGGGTCTGACATTTCAATATGATGCCTAACTGAGGGACAAAAAAGTGCGATTTTTCCTTTACATTAGTATTAATGACCAAAAAAGAATGCACTGCATTTTTTATTTGAGCTAAAAAAAAATGTACATAATCATAGTACTTAAATTCACATCATGGAACAATACGGATAATATATACTAGTATTTGTTAAAAATTATATACTCTGTATTTAATATGGACCAAATTTTCTGATTGTGTTTGATTTAGTCTACTTAAATCCGGTTTGGTCTGTTAATTGTTTACAATTATAATCTATAAATAATACTTCAGTTAAAATAAAATTTCAAACCAGACTACACTGAACCAGATCATAAGGCTAACAATCAAATATAGTTACCTCTTCTTCAAACATAGTCTGCTTGGTTAAGGATCGACTCGAGTGGGGGCATGAGCTGGGGCATAGGGAAGTGTAGCGGAAGGGGCGAAGGAAGGATAGACGGATAGGGTTGTTGTTTTGTGGGTAAACAACACTGGTGGCTCCAAGTAAGTCATTGAGCGACGGTTAGGGTTGCGCGAGTGTAGGGAATTGATGAAGGTGCAAACAATGTGGCAGAAGTTATTGTAGAAGGGGACGAGCTGAAGTCTGGGCAGTGGCAGGGGAGGTCATTGGTTGGGCGACAGAGGTCAGTGGATGGGAAACGATGGTCACTGGACGGGGAGGTGGTGTAACTAGCAGCAACGAGTTTTGAGATTGGCGGCGATTAGTCTCTGGATGTGGTGGGTCACTCGCTACTGGCGAGTAGCGATTGATCACTGGGAGGTCACTAGCAGCGGTCACTAGTGATGGACACTGGAGGATCACTGGCATGTGGAGGTCACCATCAAGCAATAGTTATTGTCGGTTCGAGTACATATCACTGGGTTAGGGAGGGCCGGAGGATATAAAAATTTGAGGAAAGAGGCAAATAAGTCTTCAAACTAATTATGATTCTATAATCAAGCATTTGCACCAGCAAGTAAAAAGAATTTGATTGCTTAATTTTCAATGAGTTGAAGAATGTATTTTCAAATCTTCTAGTTTAGAAGCCTGGTTGCAAAACCATTAATAGTTCGAGGGCTTATTTGCCCCTTTTCTTAAAAAAATTACTACATATATAAAATTAGGACTTTTTTTGTTAGACTAAATTTTTTTGATCTGATTTGTTTAAATCTAATCAGAACTGGTAGATATTTATTTTATGTTTATTATACAATTATCGAAGTACGATTTAATGAGAATGAAACAAGATCAATTCAATCATTCTTAGTCCTAATTTTTTTTATGAATTTTCTCTAGTACCCTAGTAAAAAAAATACTCTCTTCGTTCCATAAAACTTGGTCAAAATAGAATTGCACATGGGATAATAAAATAAAAACTATGCTAGATATTTGTGCAAATGAAAAAGAAATAATTGTAACCACATATTTATTACTTTAAATGGAAAAGAAAAATATTTTAAGACATCTAAATAAGAAAAGTTGGAAAAAATTATGTGATAGAGAGTACAAAATTAGTTATATTTTTGAAAAGCAGGTTATTATTATTTTTGTTTAATTTTTCAAAAAGCGAGTTCATACTAATATAGACTAATTAATTTTTAAAATATTTATATCCAAAATAGTACCTTCTTGAGAGCAAAAGTGGGTAAAAGCGGCCGTCTCCTAGGGTTTTCCTAGGCTGTTTTTCCGGCAACGTCTTTTTGTGGCGTTTGGGTCCGGCGTTAGAGTTAGGTTCTTGTGCAGTTTGCGACTCTTCTTTTCGGCAAAAGGGATTTGCTTCGGCAGATTCCTTTCGTTTAGTTTTTGTTTTGCAGGTTTGTTTTGGGTTTGGATTCAGGGTCTCAGGGGAGATCGATGCAAGCACCGAGAAAGAGGATTGGGCTCGGCGTTGTTTTGTTGTGGCGACGAAGCCCTAGTCAGCTTTTTCGGACGAGATCAGCCATCTTCGGCGAAGCGGGAAGGCGGATGGAGGCTTCACACGGCTGGGCAGCGAAGAAGAAAACATCTAGTGGCGGTCTTTCTATGAGAGCAGGACGAGGAGGAATGAACGGGGTTCACGTATTCCAGATTTTGATCGTCAATGGAGATTCAATTGATGTGGTACCGATGGTACGTCCTCCCCCAGAACCTCCGCCAAGGGTTGATCGACGCAGTTTGGAGTTTGCTTATTTATTTTTTCTGCATTTTTATTTTCAGGCTAAGATGTTTATGTTTTGTTGTTATTTTCTTTTATGATGTAAGACTCTTGCATTAGGTTTGGGGGATGAGAGGTCTACGGTAATCGTCATTGGTTGTATGTTGCCCAATTTAGGTCTAGCGAGTTATATTACTTTGTCAAAAGTGATTAACTCAGAGTCTCGACCAAGGGCTAGTTACATGTGATCCTTTTGTTATCTTGTACCCCTGTTGAATGCTGTTTTATTAATCTAAAACCACTTTGACGATAAAAAAAATTATTTTTATCCAAGTTGTTGTGTATAACAATAATTTAAATAAAAAATTGTATTGGTACCGGTTAGCAACGGTGGAGCCACTCATATAAAGGGGTTCACATGAAAACCCAATTTTTTAAAAACATATAAGTATATAGGTTTAAATTTGATATACTTATTTATTACTCTTTAAATTTATAGTTGTAAAAAGTATTGAACACACAAAAATTAAATTCTAAATCCGCCACTGCCGATTAGGTACACCCGGTGGTGGTCCGATAGAGCCTGTCGGTAATTCGCATTACAAAGTTTGACATTTTCCCAATTTCCTTTATGGAAAACATTGGGCGGTTTGGGGCAATTGGGGGTCGACCCTGCAAATTGTGTCACCTCGGCATTTCTTTTGTTCCTAACAGACCAGCAAAAACTAATGTGGGGACATTTTTCATAACTTCAAGGGCGGGAATCCTTAGCTTATAACCTTTTCTTTACAACATAAAATCACTTCCGTACCTTTGGTATGGTTTGGACCCCAACCTAAGGCAAGGCTGGATTTTATTCCCCAAGTTTGATGAGTTATCTGTAATCTGTTTATGTAAAGTTGAAACGGGTCAAAAGAGAGACAAGAGAGACTGAGAGAGCTATCCCCCATTTACAAAATAAGCCTGATGCATCAACAACCAAAGGTTAACTTTGACAATGTTTGTTTATTCTATATACGCAGGCGTGTATGAGGGTTAGAACAAATGTTCTGAGTTTAAGGGTGTCGGTATTTGCCTCTCTTATCCTCCTTTTCTTCACTTGATTCAGAATCTTCCATTTTGCTTGCTAATCTGACAATATCTTCCACGCATATTTTTCCTTCTGTTGCCAAATGGACATAATTATATAAAAACAAATTTTGAAAATAACCAAATTGTCAATTTTTTTATAACAAGGGAAAAACTAGTTAGGGAAATAGATGTCAGTTAATGCCCCAGCATCAATCAGTTTATTTCGCTCAATAATTTGACTGAAACCATTTTCACCAATAGCTTCTTTAGAAAGTTTAGAAGATTCCGTGATTTCAGCCACCAATTGGGCTGGTAATATATTTATGCATGAGAAAAACGAGTACTAATCTTGCTTGGTTCCTACACTACCATCAATTTTACCAACTAATGCAAAATGTGTTTCCTTAGCTAGAATCAAGATTTGTTTGAATTGGAAAAAATAAAAAAACACATGTAATAAATCAAGACTTAAATTGGAAAATATAAGTTGAGGTAGTCAAGGACTACAATCTTTTATCCTATTAAATTTGGTTGTATAAAAAGCAAAAAAGATCAGAACTTGGGATGAGATTAAGGACAAACCTCTATCTTTAGAAAGGTTGCTAATTAGCTGTTGGATTCCATCCTTTGCTAAGGTGTCTTTGAGGTAATTTGCAGCTGAAGCAACTTCCTCTGTTGTAACTTTGCCATCATAATCCCTACACATAGATTAGAAAAATTTATCTTCTACGAATGAAGTTGTCAATTTCCAGACATTTAGTAGAGGAAACGCGCTACAAAGTTGTCTCATTTATTTATTTATGTGTCCTTTAGTGATAGACTAGTTCTACTATGCACGCAAGCTTAATCCCTTATTTGACCAGTTGACCCAATCACATAAGAGGTCCATGATCCTTTCATTTAGACACCATAATTATTCGCCTCAAGTCCAGAAAGGGAGTAAGTGACATCTTAAGTAGTTAAGGTCAAACCTGTGTTTTCTATTTTTTCATGTGGCAGATGAGCAAGGTAGGAAGAACCACCAAACATAGGGTACAAGACCCCCCCCCCCCCAAATCAAGAAGCTCAGAGGAACCTTATTAGGAAATGGTCAACATAATATACTCAAAGATCAATTAAGGAAACCCCCATAAATACATCATAAAAGTATAAAACACCAACATTTTGAGTTTTTCATTAACTTTCACCATTCTATAAAATGAGATATGAATGAAATAAATCAGCTGATATGTGAGTTTAGACTTTAGATAAATATGTACCTTTTGGCAGGTCTTGATATTGGAGTTTGCCCCAAAATAATTGTCATTTTAGCAATAAATTAGTTTACGTCCTAAACTAATTCTTATAACTGGAATCTGAAAGATTTTTTCTGTTTGTCTTCCAAATTTTCATTTATACTCTTCTCAAGCTAGATACTTTAGGCCACTTCTGTTTTCAGATAAAATTTAAGAATAAAACCAGAAGCTGTTCTCAATTTTTTGTTTGCAGTTTATAATACTCCATACTAACATAGTTAGCATAAGTTTAATTATTTAGTAGTTCATTATACAGCCTGTGTCATATACTCCCCCATCCCTTATAACTTTGCCAAAGTTGACTGACACAGAGAATAATAAAGTACTACGTACAACTATGTGGTTGAGGTTTGTGACGAAGAGAGAGAATTAACAGGAACCAAAAATTCTTTATTTAAAAGGGAAAGTTGGCAAAGTTATAAGGGACGGAGGGAGTATCTTTTGAAAACTGGGGTAAAAAATAAAACTGAAGGCGATGCCGAATGGCCCTGGCCCCTGAGTATGTGTATTGTGTACTTTATAAAGAGACATCTATACCTACAATTCAATAAAGGCATGTTGATAATTTCATGAGGCACTCCTAATATGAGTGGAATACTGAAATTACATAAAAGTGGAAATTGGTTTGGGGCGGAGTGAGCAATAGAAAATGCATGAACAGACCTATCAAGCAACCGCCATCCATCACCAATTTTTGCATCAACATCATCAATTTCCTTTTCAAGGTTGTGAAGCATCGCATCAACCTAAGCATTGAGAAGTACGAATAAGAATATAACAGCACATTAATGTGTTCACACTTCAGCTCATGCTAATGCAAGTCATACAGAAACCATTTGTGGATTTTGAAGCCTTCCTAACCTTGTCAATGAGTGCCGATGAAACTTTGTCATCTACAGCTGTCTCTGTAGTGTCATCAATATCCTTCCTAGATGCTCTATAAGCCTTATTGATTTCTTCTTCTCCTTCAGTACCTTCTTTATTGACCACACTATTGTACAAATCTATCTGCAGAAGGCACATTACGTTAAAGCCTAGAATATTGCTCAGAGATTCTCTTGTTTATCGTGCTGATAAATTGACAGGTTAACTGATAACGTTAAGAAACGTAGTCTTGGACAATAGTAAGTAACCAAGAACTTCTATCAGAAGAGACCAAAAGATTTTAGTAATGAGAGAAGCTGAAATATACGGCAATACATACCCATAATTCCAAATCAACGGGGTTGGTTAAAAAACTAAAAATGTATGAACATGAAAATTTAGTAACTGCGCCCAATGTTTACCCTAATATTAGACTTCACTCCATATAAACTTATGGTGCAAATACGAATATTCTAGGAAGATTTACACCAAACAAACCTAATACATAAACCTTTCTGGCGCATATCTTACCCCAATCCCAAAATGTAACTATGTTTGGTTGTTTGCCTTAATACTTAACTTTGCACACCTCTTGGGGTACAAAGTAACGAAACACATGGAGATACAAAGTAAATTATTAAGATAAACTGATAGAGAGCAGCGGTTCGACCCGGAAGAAGAGGGGCCGAGACCCCTGTTGGTTTACCGCAGGCGGGGACGAGCTTAAGCCCACCTTTGTGGGCTGGCTGCTGGCCGTTTAAATAATTTATTCTTTTATAATTTTCCTGATTTGTTTCCTATCTGGAATTAATTATGATTTCTATTATTTCTGTTTCCTATTTGGAGTTAATTAGGATTTCTATGATTTCTATGGCTGGAATTTTCAGCCCTCGTACTATGAGACTCCGAGAGGTGGTAGCGGGATGCACGGTGACCATTTTGATAGACAGTGGCGCAAGTCACAACTTTATTTCTTTATCCTTGGTATCCCTATTACAAATGAATCCGGACAAGACGGGCAGATTCAGGGTGCAGTTGGGAGATGGTCATAGGCAGGAGTCAGAGGGGGTGTGTAGACAACTTCCTATTTCATTACCGGGGTGTGCGGTTACAGCAGATTGTTTTGTGTTTGCCTTAGTTAGGGTTGACATCATTCTGGGTGTGGATTGGCGGGCCACTTTGGGAGAAGTCTGGACGAATTGGAAGAAATTAACAATGAACTTTGAGTTGGGAGGTAGACGAGTAGAGCTAAGGGGTGATCCGACAATGTCCAGAAACTCGGTCAGCCTCCGAAGCCTACTCAAGACCACTGAAGTGGAGTTTTTGTGTGGTCGTCCTAGTCCATGAACCTGTCAAACTGCCAGAGCCAGCTGCAGGAGTGTTAGATGACCTTCTTGGGTAGCATACCGAGGTGTTTGAGGAGCCGCAGGGACTACCCCCTCGTCGGACAACAGATCAATAGTTGGTTATGGGATCGAAACCTATGTAAGTTTGAACATTCAGATACGACCACTTGCAAAAAGATGAGATTGAAATATTAGTAGCTGAAATGCTACGAGCTCGAATCATTCAACCGAGCGTGAGCCCATTCTCAAGCCCAAGCCCAGCTCTCTTGATTAAAAAGAAAGATGGGAGCTGGCGTTTTTGTGTAAACTATCGGGAGCTTAACAAGTCCACCGTGCCGGACTAATAATCGATTCCAGGTTGCTAATCAACTCATCTAGGATCTCCTGTATCACTGGAATCGATTATTTGTCCGGCACTCACAACCGTATTCGTAAGACACACATCTGCACACAGGAAATTAGAAGGCTGATGATGTTCTTCCTTGGAAACGTCGAATTTGCAATAGTAAACTTAATTATTACTCAACGATTAAACACCTACTGCACCGGTCATAACTAAATAAAGTTATAAAAAAGGTTGAAAGGAAAAGGTTTGAAGTTACCTCTTTCTTGACAAGTCTTAAGAACTCTTCACGTTCCTGGCTCACTGACTAAAAAACCAGCATAGAAAACAAGTTAAGCTCTCGTATTCAGCTTTTATTACCCAATGTATGATAAGACTGTAACTGTCTGCCTTAGGCCTTTACTCACAGATGCTGAAGCCAAAACGGCCAATGCACGACTGATCTCACAAAGCTGCTCTTGTTTATCTAAGCCTTTGGCATTCTTTAATTCTTCTGCTTCTCTCTTTGTTGGTACTGTCATTTCTTCTAAAGCTATATCCTTCTGTTTAGCTGCAGAGTCCCGCATCCTGGCCTGCGTTTCTTCCTCTCTCTCTTCCTCCTCCTGCATATCAGAATGTCAGAAATAGATGCTATGCAATGGCCATTATCGATAGATTTGGTCATAAACTAGATTGTATAATTAGAAGTCTAATTATATGACAGGTGCTAAAGATTATATGCAAATATAACAATATAATATTAATGCTAACAAATTACATTAACAAGGAAGTGTTCTCTTGAACTTATTTTCGTCTTAGACCGAATTAGACTAGAATAGACTTCAAGAGACAAGTCCAACACAGATCAGACTTAAGATAATAATAAAATACGCATAATACCAGATCTTACCAGACCTTAGCCATTCAAATCAAACTACACAAACGGGCCAATCCACACTAGACCAAATTTACATCAGGAACATACAAGACCAACAACAACAACAACATCCTAGCCTTAATCTCAGAAGAGTTTGGGGTCTGCTAACATGAACTGACCCATTGCGAACAGATAAGAAACCAGTAAATTTCAGTTCAATTGAGCATGTTTTAAATCTATAGGATTGAAAGATGTCACCTGATTTTACTACAAGGCAGATCAGGCTTTATTTATTGAGTGAAACAGAGCAATACCAGAAAATACAGCAACATACAGACGTAACTATCTAATCTATTATGTGTGAGTAGGCTGTATGACTGCCCCAAAACTTCATGGCATTCAAGATTTTTTTATCATTTTAGAATTTAAATATAAGATAGTAAAGTTATTAGGGAAAACAGTCAAATAAGTCCACCTACTTTTTACAAAAAAGTAGGTGGACTTATTAGCGAGTCAATTAAGTCCGCAAAGTGTAAAAAAAAACCCAAATCATCTATTTTACAGCTAATTAAACATGATTATCCCGTTAACCGCCTACGTGATACCCCAGCTGGCGTTTTTAATGTTTTATATTTTTATATTTTTTTTCGTTTCTTTTCCTATTTCTTTCTCTCTCTCTTTCTTCCTTCCTCTTTTCTCTTTCTCTTTCTTTCGTTTTTCTCCATTCCGGTCTGTTTCATCCCTCCACCCACCTCTTTCTACTTCTTTGATGCTCTAACTCCATTAATGGCAATTTCTTTTTCATCAATCTCCTTGTGTAAGGGCCTCTTCCGCTTCTCCTCACCCTGTCCTAACTCCTAATCGCACCTTTCCATTTCTTTCTTGCCTAAACTGATGCCAATCGCGATGAAATTAAAGGGAGAGGTGGCTATGTAGACAAAGGCGGGGGAGGTGCAGGAGATGGAGGCTGTGAAGTCGGTGGCTATGGAGGTAGGGGCGGCAGAGGGGACATCTCGGAGGTGGTGGCTATGGAGGTTGGGGCGGCATAGGTCACTCCAGTAGATGAGGCAGAGGCGGAGGCGGAGGCTGTAGAGACGGTGGGTATGGAGGTAGGGGCACCGGAGGCTGCGGAGGTGGTGGATATAAAGGTAGGGGTGGCAGATGCTCTAGTGGAGGAATCGTCACGGACGTGGTGGCTATTTAAGCGGGAATGGCGGAGGATGCTGAGGCGTGGATATGGAGGCACCAGCAGCAGAAATTGGGATGGTGGTGGAAGCCAAGAACAAGAGAGAACGTACCAGCTGGCCCGCAGGGCTAAAGAAGAAACCAAGAAAAGAAGGGAAGAAAGAAAGAGAAAAGGAAAAAGGAAAAGAAAAAATATAAAAAATTATAAACAGTAAAAACGCCAGCTTGGACATCCACGGCAGGCGGTTAACCGGGAAACCGGTTGACTACCTATAAAATAGTTGATTTGGTTGTTTTTGACACTTCACATACTTAATTTACTCATTAAATTAAACGTGGACTCAATTGACTTTTTGTTAAAACCCCAAACTATCTCTCTCTTGATCGTAAAGAAATGGAAGAGAATATAGGGTTGATCGGGAATGTTGGCTTATTATGATCGGACAGCTCTTTTTGGACCGGCTACACATATTCCTCAGGCCCACCACTGGGCCAGGGTCATCTCATCACTTAGGCCATCAGGAATTTCATGTTATTTCGGATATTATATTTCCTACATTACACACTTTCCTCCTTTTTTTCTCTTTTCCCTCGTTTGTATTTGCTTTCCTACTCTTCTGCTCAACACTTGTAAATTGTTCCATTATCAATAAAATCCCTTTTGTTTAAAAAAAAAAGGCAGACTTATTTGACAGTTTTCCCAAATTATTAATACTAATCCATTCACTGCAGATGTTAAACCATAGCCTTTTACTTCTTGATTTGTCTTCTGCTAGACAACTTTTTAAAAAATGTTTCTCTGGCACAGAAAGAACAAAAAAAAATATGAGAACCTTGATCAATTCTTCTTGCATTCCTAAGAACTCCAGCTTTCTTCTCCTTTCAGAAACAGAATCTTCAGATGGCAAAGTAGTGACTCCAACAGTATCCACCACTTCATCTGGGAGGGAAGAGAGTGTTGCTTGAACAGCTTCCTCAGGTTTGACTTTACCAGAGACTGAAAATGCTCTGGAGTCCAAATTTGCTGAGAAGCTTAGCCATTGGTAAGAATGTGGACATTGAAAATAATAATAACAGGGAGACAACAAGTTACCTCGAAAGGATTAACAAAGAAGATGGAACTGAATGGTTGAGAGATAATTCCAGCCAATCATGCAACTGCACAAGAAATTCTATTCAAGTGACAATACCATATTTTGTTTGATCTTTTTAAAATGTGTCACTTCTAGAATTAGGGGGCAGCCTGGGGAAGGGTCCCACCACAAGTGTGTATAGAGGGTAAGCCTTCCCTTTTCAAGAGGCCACTCCCACGACTTGAATCTGTGACCTCTCAGTCACACGGCAACACCATAACCGGTGTGCCAAGGCTCCCTTTCAAAATGTCACTTCTATGTTGGCAAAAATTAAGAGAAACACTTCCAAGCTGAAAAAGTACTAAAAATGATACTCCCTCCGTATTCTAAAGTTTGCTACACTTTCCTTTTTGGGATGTATTTAAAAGTTTGATACACTTTCCCTTTTTGGTAAGTTTTTTCCTTTAAAAATACTCAACTACCCTTACTTTTTCCACTTTTTATCTTCTCTTTCATACTTTTACACACTCTCTCCTATTTTTTCTACACTATTCATTAACCCTACTATTTTATCCTAAAACTTTGTGCCCAAACCTAATGTAGAGAACAACTAAATACGGAGGGAATATCCACCATTCCACCTTTGCATGTGGGCCTGGTCCTGGTTCTTGTTCCAGTTCCAGATCGGTTTCTTAGCCTGCTTTGAAAAGTCGGCTACCGATTCCAGTCTGGAACCTGTTCCTCGGATCCGGTACCAATTCCAGATCCAGTACCGCTTCCGGTTCGGAAGCATTTTCCGGATCCGGTACCGAATCCAGTTCGGAACCATTTTCTAGATCCGGTACCGATTCTAGTCTGATTCTGGAGGCTCCTTTAAAACCCCTGTTCCTAGGAACCGGTACCAATTCCAGTCCGGAACCATTTTCCGGTTCTGTCTCCGGGCAAATAACCGGCTGGTCCTGATCCGGTTCCACCTCTATTCACCCTCTATTGAACGAGGCCTTGTATGAGTTGTAGCACGTGTCATCTTTGTGACCAATGTGTTTCCTTGGCAGCTTAAACTTTCCTGGTTTTCCATTCCTAGTTTTCTTTACTTGTTAAGTTGTTAGAGATAAAGTTAAAACAGAGAAAAATGAAACCCATACAGAACTACACCTGTTGTATCATTTCGTCCACTGAGAGTAGTCCAAGTAAACCCCTCTCTCGACATGCTTGGCGAAGTTCCTCCTCAGAAAGAGATTCCACACCCTCTAGTTGAATCAATTTATCATCATTTTTTATTCTGTCCAACATGAATAAGTTATATTATGGTTCCCCACGTTTATACATCTCATTATCTCATCATATTTTTTATTCAAGTTTATGTGAACTGTGCTTTGAACACCATCATACGTTTTAGTAGCACTGTAGCAGAGAAAAATTCAGCATTTTACAAATCCAAAGATACAACAACAACATCCAAGCCGTGATCCCAAAAGAGTTTGGAGTCAGATAACATGAATCGACACATGAAATCGGAGCAAAAGATAAGAAAGATAAAAAGATAAGGAAAGATAAACAGATAAAAAAGATAAGATAAAGATAAAAATGATAAAAAAAAAATAAGATAAGAAGGATAAAAGGATAAAGAACATAAGAAAGATAAAAAAGATAAAAAGATCAAACGATAAAAAAAAGATGAAAAGAGATCAATCCTCAACATGAATTTACAAATCCAAAGATAAATATAGAAAAGGCTAACTTTGATAAGCAAAGGAAATCAATATCAACCATCATAAAAACCTAATATCTTAGATCTGTTACACAGACCATTATCAAATATCAACTACGTGTGGCTTGACCTCAAGTGCTTGACTGCAATCACTGCATTGCTTCGCTAATCAATGAAGAAATGTCTAAATCTCAATCAAGTTTGGAATCACGACTATATATTCCATCTCTCACTTTGGTTTTATTAGGCACTGGACGTTTCATGATCTTCAAAGCTAGCAGAACTTTCTCCACTCTCCTATTTATGATATTACATTACTGTCAAAACTACCAAGTACCAACCCATTTTCTCTCTTCTTCTGTATTGCTCCAAATATATTTTCTTGAAGTTACTTCCCTTTTGTGTACCCACTACCCACATATCTATCTTAGCAATTTTATATTTCCTACAGCTACCTCATATGCTACTTTTCAACCATTTTTCACATCCTTTAGTTAGCTGAACGACCACTAAAGGGAATATTAGTTTGCCTGCACACTAAAGGATATGTGACTCACTCACTCACCACTAAACCAGTGGCTTGACCACATTATCAGTATCCTAATTTGATGTCTTAAATACAATTTTAGTCCCTGTGAATATAGTGTTTTTATCCTAGCAACAAAAATGTTTTCAACCCTGGCAATTTACGCTTTTTCATTCTAAGCAATCTCCACTTACGGGGAAAATAGTAATGTAGTGCAACTCAACTCTAAACTTTACACATCATCTGTTTATAACTTTTTGGATACTGTTTGAGAAGTATATAGTGGACAGTATATATGGCAGTACATTATAGGTGATTAGTATAGGCGTATAGCATGATTTTAGGAAGATTGTTTCCTTTATTACGATCTTAGTTATGTCATATGTGTATACAGAGTCTTAACCCTAAAATCGATACACTGAATTATTCAACTCTCTTATTTCCTATGATTCAACACAGTCTCAGTGAACACAGAAAATATATGCACATGCTAATCAGTGGTTAATTGTAACTTCTTCAAATGGGAAACCTTTAATGTTATATAGTTTTGGTGTATGGAGGTGTATTGTTCTTTACTTCTTTTTGTTGAATGTTAGGATATTAATAAACGCTAAAGGTTAGTAGATCAAAATAAGAGTACAACTTGCACCTAGGTGGCACCCTTTTATGGTCTTCAAATACATATATACTCTTATAGTGAAGATTTCATGGAATGGGTTGGAGTGCTATGTGATACAAAACATGATGCACCCAAGACAAAATTTATGGGTAAGAATACAACAGAAGAAATAATAGGAATTGAGTTATATGACATTCATCATCATCATTACCCCAGTGCCGCAAAGGCTCCCATCTACGATGGGGTAAGGGGGGGTCGGATGTACGCAGTCTTACCCCTGTACTAAAGCACCGAGAGACTGTTTCCGGATGACCCATAGTGAAATTCGCATCGAAAATTGCATGCACTGACTACTGCTTCATAATAAAAGAGCGCAGACAGTTTAGTGAGCCATTTTGCTTTATTCCATCATATTCCCAAGCCAAAAAAATAGTGAGTTTTTGGCTCCATTAAAAATGATGGAAAAATTGAGTTATATGACATTATGTCAAAAAAAATGGCTGCAACGGAGACTTGAAACTAATAAACAGAAAATGTCAAGCAATGAAGCAATTCAAATTACAAATGATTTAATGGTTAAGCAAGAAGGGGGTTTTATAAAGTGTGCCCATGGGTAAATAGTGTATACTTTTCTTAAATTAGTGTTGCTACTTGCTAATGGTGATAAATATATAAACTCGAATGGTAATAGTACAGATTTTTTAAATCACGTTTTTTACATGGAAATATCAGATCCTTCCTTTAAACTTGAATATGAAGAAAAATAGTTGTTCTTTACCATGTTCCCATCATCCCATGGGAGCACGTCATAAATCCCAACAAGAAAATATGCTACTACACCAAGCAATTGGAATAAAAAGAATATTAAATTTCATTGGATAATTAAGAAAAAACTATTATCCTAGAACCCTGATATGTGATTTCCTTTTGGAAAACTTCCACACAGTATCTGTGAAATCCATCCCAAAATGTGACGTAAAATATTGTCAAACCTAGAGATGCAGTACTCACATATCCCAAATCCCAAGCAGTGTCAGTTACGGGCTGACAAGCAGAAGTGGCATGACCAAGATAAATATAGGTTTTGATGAGTGTATATTGACTTACTTCTGGAGTTTTTGTCGAAGCATGTGGCGCAGGTATGCATCGGTACCAAATGGACTAATACCCATATATTTGCACATATTCACCAAGCGGGGTCTGCAGGCCATTGGAGAAGTGAATTCATTATTACGTCACAAAAGCAGTAAGCAGAAATTTATATGGTGATGCGGCCAAATTTATACTTCAGATGAGCGACAACCTGCTAATGTTATCTAAAGTAAGTTCATCATTGAACAACTTCGCAAAGCCTAAAATCTCTTCATTGGAAACTTGAGCACCCCTTCTGACCTAATTAATAATTGAAGAAATAATGTTCTCAATAGTTACAAAAAGATGATAAGAGCACAACACATATAATGTATCATGTATGTATTTATAGAGTGATTGTATGATTGTGTCCATGAATTAGACACGATATAACAAAAGAAATGCATACATTACATTTTGATGGGCAAAATTGTAATTTTAGCAATGATTTGAAGTATTAAATGTACTCTCCTAAATTTATGTGTTTTTTCAAAGATGACATTTTCCTAGCGTGGGGGTAATAAACTTGACTCAGTAATGAAAGTGTGCTAATCACACTCACTATAACAAAAGGAAAACATGACAACTGTTATAATACATATTCTTGAAAAGAAATTTACTTTGTTCATAAACTCATCAAGATCTTCAGCCGTTTTCTTCACTTCTCCACCTCGAGAGTTTTGAACTTCTTTTGCCATTTCTTTCACTGTCTCTTGAAGAAACTTTGCATATTCTATCCTTGCATTCAACCTCCTTTTCAGAGCTTCCTAAAAGTTCACATTTTTCAAAATATCAACGGAAAAGACTTAGTATAAGGTCAAGTGCACTATAATTGAATGATGAAAGTAATGTGGTGATGTGAGTAAAATGAGACGCTTGGTTGATATTTATCAAATCAAACATCAAAGGTATATGCCCTCTATCAAGCAGATCAGTTATGTCCTTGTTTAAGAACCTGCAGGTTTTTTACATTTTCAAAGCGGTATAGTAATTTACAACAAGAACACCTACAAGGCTACAATAAAAGTTATAATGAGATATGAATAGATATTAATCTACGGGATATAAGAAAGGAAGCGGATTAACATGAAGCGTGAGTTTTGCAGTCTCTACAAAACAAGGTGGGACAAACAGTTAAAAGACCATTCCAAAAAGTTATTGCAGTCTCTACCTGTTCTTTCATCTTATCCTGAAATGTTGACGGCAACATGTTGGGGAACAGTTTAAGGAATACCGGAAGCAAAAACTCCATGAACGGAACAATGATGAAAACCGCAAAAGGAACTAGCCTAAAAATATCCGCTGTTGTTCTTGTTAGCTGCTGTCTTTCCCTCCTGGAGAGGCTCTTCCCGCCAGCAAGTTTTAACAATAGCCGTGAGCTTATCCTAACATCAGCCCAAAGTAGCTTTGTACCCAGCCAATAATGTTGCAATGTGGACTTAAATTCATCTTTCCAATGTCTCAACTTCCTCGCCCAATCCTCACTAAATACCAAAAGAAAAATAAAGAATCAAAACAGAGAGATGGTGTGTAAATATTAGTCATACTTGGGGGAAAGCTGGTAACTTCAACGGTTCAACCTGCTCATTGAAGCAATAGCTTTTAAAGCAGGACCAATCCCGAGAAATATTGCCCACATTCTCCTTAGTAAAGGTTTGACAGCCTTATGTGACTCGTGCAGTTGTTTAGCTTTTGCTTTTGCCTTCACGGAGCTCAAGCCTTCAACTGCCTGATCGCATTCCTCTGGTGAAGGCTCCTTCTTCAGTTTAATAGCAGCTTCCTCATTCTTGTTATTGTTCTCACTACCTGCAGAAGCAGTTGACAAATAGCATCGGTTGTGGAGCACCAACCTTATTGCCAGAGGTGAAATAAGCTGTTCCCTATTAGTCCTTGAGCCCAATGATGAATGTTCCCAAGAGAGGTACATTGTAAATTCTCTTTCGCGAATAGTTGGTGATAAACCTATGGTGCCATAATGAGAATTTTCTTCCCTTCGATCAGTTTCGTTCGGCAATTGGTGAATTGCAGAACGGAAACATGAGTTACAAATTGTGGAGGATTCTTGATTTTCATAACAAGAAAAACTTTGAATGAATGCAGAATATGGGTTGATGGAGTCAAATATGCTCTTTTTTCTCCGCAATATCGCCCTTGAAGCCATAGAAACAAAATATGCCCTGTACACAGTAAATGTAACATAACTGACCAATCCCTTGTGTCAAGGCCGTCTAAACAAAATCCAAAATCACGGCAGAATGTAAAAAAACAATACATAAACATCTCAGGGTGTGTGTTGTTCATATATAGTGCAATGACTGCAATCTAAACCTGCCTTCCGCTCAACCCAGAGAAATTTAGCAATCTATTACCAATAAGCTAAGGTTTTGTAGCTTTTATATTCAACTACAAATATCTGTTTCTTTCACATTAAATTAGCTTCATATTTTATGGTCTGAAATTTCTATTACTTCAACAATCTGTAAATGTGCAATGACAGGGACTATACTATGGACATTACATCCCTGATTAATTTAACCTGTAAATGTGCAAACACAGAGACAAAACTATTGACAATATACCTCTAACCAGTTTGCAGCTTATGTTATAAAAATGACAGAGTTCAATTTGGAAAGATTTAAAATAGCCATGGCTGAAAATCCATTGTATTTTATTGCAGTGGTGATGGATCATTTTGGCAAAGTGACTTCATATGTATAGCTCTAGAGAGAGTGACAAATAAAACTACAGAAGAGCTATGTGTAGCCTGACTTCAGTCTAAGCAACACCATGATTGGCATCAAAACAACAGAGAGGAGCTGTGTGTAGAAAGTGCAAACAACCTAATTCCCATATCACATACCACTAATATGCAAGGGATCAGTAAATTCGCTCTCCAAGCGACCTAAACAGCAGGAACCTCACTCTTTAATCTCAGGTGAAACATAAACCAAACCATTTCAAGTCTACGATAAAGCATTATGCCCATGTTGGGAACCTTAAACAACCAGATGAATGTGCCTGCAAAACGAAAGCTCATTTTTGCTCGTTTTGACGGAAAGACAGAAAACAACTAGTAGAACAAGATGATCGAACCATTAAGAGTATGAGCGAATGAAAAACAGCTATCTTAGTTACCAGGGGATGGCAACAACTGCAATGCTGATTTTCCACTTGGTGTTGGAGATAGGAGAACGTGGCAGAGCCTGCAGAACAACAATTAATAGCTGCGCGGAAATTGACGAAATAATTGTATGTTTACGTTATTACTATCCTCATTTTTCTTTATCCCAAAGTGTTTGAATTTTTTTACAGAAATTATTTTTTTTGAAAAAATATTGTTCAATTCATTTCATTATAAATTTTCAAAATCTGATTTTTAATTGTTTTTTACTAATAGAGGTTAAGATATAATTATGATCAAAGACGTGCGTTGTCAAGTGTGAAATGTTTACCGTTGCAACTAAAAAAGAACGGATGAAATATTAATTATTAAAAATAATAATAAAATTCTTCCAAAATAATACGGAGTAATAATTAAATGCACACAAGCCATAGAATATTGTGGACCTAAACTCATTTGGTCCTAATAGCATCTTTAATGCTACATCCTTCACATGGAGTAAACTTTGACACATGGCACTTAATAAGTGGAATGTCTATCCATGTCATGCGAGAGTGATTTAATTAGACATTGAAACTCCAAAATCTGCTCCAATGCTTCATTCATGTTAACAACCCAAACTCATACGAAATTCTTTTGCCGGTAAGCGCATGTATCACCGAAATATCCATATTACAGGCTATTATTATTAAAAAGCAGCGGAGATAGAAAAATCTGATTGTGAAATTTGGTTTTGAGAAGAATGAATTAATCCAAAGTTAGGAAATTTGTAAATACGAGCAAAAATATACTGCATATGCAAGAAATTAAATCCTTTCCCCGACAAACCTGCTACATTGAAAACTGCGAAATTAATTTGCTGAAGAAACCCACTACTTGAACGTATAGGTCGTGGTTCATTGGTTCAAGACGTTTTGGAGATTTTTTTGAGGAATTTCTTCACCCATTTTCGCTGAGTCATCATGTCAAGGAGACTGTTATCAGAAGACAGTCACCTTAACAATGTTGACGTTATTTTTGTACAAGTCAGCTTTATATGGCCTTAGACATATTGCGCTGGAGACGAAAATGTTGCGAGATATGTCGACATGGCTGATGCGGCAATTTTTTCTAATGTCAACAGGCTCACATTGGAGATGCTCTAAGTCCCACAGCATGTTTCGTTACTTCCCTATCTTGGAAAGTGCAAGAGTTACATTATTATTGCCCATTAAGGGGGTGTTTGGATCTGATTCTTAAAACTGATTCTGCTCTTTTAGAGAGCAGAAGAAAAAAAGTTGGAGTGTTTGACTGAAAGTGTAGAAGTGATTCTGATGCTCTAATTTACTACTAGAATCAGTCTTTTTAGAAGCTGGGGGTGACCAGCTTCTGAAAACTGATTCTGATTCTGCTTCTGCTTTAAAAAAGAAGCAGAAGCCTAATCAGTTCCAAACACCCCCTAAGGGTGTAATAACATTGGGTATTTTTAAATCTTTTTTGGCAGATAGATAGTATAACTTCTGCTCCATTGTGGCAGAGGCATAAAATTGGTTTCTCTTAGGGTTAGTGCCGCTGGGGTGTTTTCTCTGTTTTCGATCGTGATCGAAGAACGGTCCGGGGGTTTCTCGCGGCTTGCTGCTCCTGTTCGTCGAGGTCCTGATACTCGGCGGAGTAGGTCTGCTTCTGCGGAAGCTGTTCCGTTTTTCTCTCTAGGGTTTTTACGCCGCTGGAGTTTTCTTCGGTTTCCGTCAGAGACGAAGAACGGTCGTGGTTGCTTCGCTACTTCTGCGGCGAGTAATTGGTGTTGGTACGTGGTTGCTTTGTCTGGGACAGTGGGACTCGGAAGGCGGAAATCGACGGAGGGATCTTGCTGTTCAACACGAAGGTAGAAATCGACGGAGATTCTGTTGATCGGTTTCTTCGCGAAGGATTCCTGTTGACCATTCGCGGAGGAAGATTAACGGGAGAGAATTAGTCAGAAGCCAAGAGGGTTGCGGCCGCGAGAGTTTGTTTGGGGGCGCCGCAAAGCAGCAAGGCAGGGTAGTAAGGAAAGATGAATGCATTACAGGGCTTGACAGCGAAGAAGATGACCGCTAGTGGCGGTTTTGCTACGAGCACGGGACGAGGAGAGTTGCAAGGTTTTTGTCTAGGTCAGATTTCGATCGAAAATGGAGGATCAAATAGAGTGGTACCGATGGTACAGCCTCCACCTGAACCACCGCCGGTGGTGCACTTGGTGATTCTGCTCAAGAGGACTAGCTATGGTTTCTATTTTTTTGCGTACTTGCATTTTAATTTCCACGCTAAGACGGTTGTGTTTTGTTTTTATTTTATTTTATGGTGTAAGACTTTTGCACTTGGATTGGGGGATGAGAGGTCTACGGTAATCGTCGTTGGTTTGATTATGCCCAAGTTAGGATTAGTGAGTTATATTGCTTTGTCAAAGGTGATTAACTCTGAGTCTCGTCCAAGGGCGGATAATTACATGTGATCCTTTTGTTACTTCAAACCCTATATGTTTGCTATTTTATTAATATAAGCCCCCTTCGATAAAAAAAAAAACTTTTTTGGCAGATATGATTAAAAAAAAGCTTTTTTGGCAGATAAGCTCAAAAGTAGATAAGTTCAAACGTGAAAATAATGTCTTTTTTTTACATTTTTTAATTCTTCTTTTAAAAGAGCTATGCTATAGGTACCCCAAAGTGGGATATCCCATTTTTACCTCACTCTAATGGGTAGCCATAAATGGAGCAACTCATTTAAGTGGTGCACCACTTAAATGAGTTGCCCCATTTATGGCCACATGGGGTAAAAATGGGTATCCCATTTTGAGCATTTTACTTTTTAAAAATAGACTAACTTAATTTATGTTTTCAATAATAGACCATACTATGTCCCGGACTAGGCTTGGACTCGGTGCGGGCCACCCGGCCTGGTACTGTGTGGGCCCGGCCCGGGAACCGGGCACCGGTTCCGGGTCTAGGCCCAGTTTGTGGGGGTAACCGGGGCGGGTACGGGCTATGGTAAATGCAAATCGGCCCGGCCGGTTCCGGGTCCGGTCCGGGCCTGATTTTTTTTTGTTTTTGTTTTTTCAATTTTTTTTTGGTTTCCACCGGGTGGGGCTGGGTGTTTGGGAGGGTGAGGGGGGAGGGTCAGGGGTAGTTAGAAAAGCAAAAAAAAAAAAAAAAAAAATAAAAAATTGAACCGGCCCGAGGCCGGGCCCGTACCCGGTGGAAACCCGGGCCGGTTCCAGGCCTTCCCTCAACCCTCAAAAGCCCGGCCGGGCCTAGGCCCGAACCGGGTCCGGTCCATGACTATCCCGGCCCATTGGAACCTCCCCTCTTCGTGCATCACTACATAAAAATCTACCCGTCATCAAAAAATCTACCCATCATCAATAAACTAAAATTAAATTAAAGAACTAAAGCTAAAAATTAAAATTGCATAGTAAAAATTGAAAATTTGAAAACTTGAAAATTAAATGTAAAAGTTTAAATTTAAAAAATCAGAAAAGTGTAGAGTAAATGTACAGAATACTTGGAAAAAACAAAACTCAACTATAATATATATATATATATATATATATATATATATATATATATATATATATATATATATATATATATGGAGTGGTTCTAATGAGAACAACTCTTATTGTGAGAAATGAGAACATATCTCAACCACTCATCTTAATGAAACGGACGTTGAATATAAAGTGGGTATACTGTCCATGGTTGTGGATGTGCGCACAAGATCTTGGCAAGTTGTAGGGCATGCAACGTTTAGAAGATTAATAAGGACACAATGGTAATTGTTAGTGATTACCAATTAATGCTAGTGTTCCCACTTCATTAAAATTTCCAAAATTTAAGGAATATTAGAAGAAGCATTTAATAGAGCTACTTGATTTAGTCTTAGTAATTCCACTTACCTAAAAAGTAGGTAAAAATAAAAATTCAAATTATGTAAAATGTTTTTAGTTTATAACTGATTTAACTTTTAAAATAATAATCTGATTTATAAAAAAACTAATTAAATAATTTTTTATAACCTTTCATTTGACACTAATAATGCATATGTTTTTTTTAAATGAGTATAATTTATATACTATGAATCACAACAACCATCTTCGGCTACTACACACAAGAACATGTACGTAACACACAAATACAAATATCTAATGCACAAGTACAAGTTTCCGACGCACAATATGTATAACAAAACACTAGAATAAGTATCTTATCCACAAAATCCAATATTTAATACACAAGTAAAAACTAAGTAATATCACAACAAGTATGTCATGCACAAGAACCGATATCTAACACACAACCCCGAATATGTAATGATTATGAAATGATATATAACACGCAACTCATTTATGTAATGCACGTGAACATGTATCTAACTCACATTTCGTATATGTCAATTGTGCATCATAAACAAATTGTGCAAGTTATGCACATTAGAATAAGTCAAATGTTAATGGTGTGTGTTATAAGTATACTTGTGCAATGTGTTGTAGTATTAGTGTAAAGTGTTGAAATCCAATTAACAAGTTTACTTCATGTGTATAATTAATTATTACTAGTGCAGAATTTGATCAAATTATGCGGTAAAAGTGGCAAATTCAATAAGTAATAGATAAAGTGCATCACGTAATATATAGAGTTTCAACAAAATATTATTCTTGAAGTACACTTTTTAATATGAACTCATAAGAGCATGATTAAAAATTTACAACTGTTGGGATATATTATCCCGGCCTATTACTGTTCAGGAGCCCAAGACTTTACGTAGTACGGAGCCCAATCAGTAAGGCCCATTTTAGCCTATCAGGCCTGTTTCGGCCTTTGGGCCCATTTTGGCCCATTCGGCCCGTTAGGGTGGAGAGCCCCCTTTCCCCCTATTCCCTATAAATAGGAGGTTTCCCTCCATGTAAAAGGATCCTTTTCTTCTTCCTCCTTCTCACTAGAATAGCTTAGAACTCCATTAATGGGAGCTTCAATACTTGTACTATGTAATGGTGAGGAGAGTCTAATGAGAATTGAGAGGGCTTGGACATTAGCCTAAAAAGTCCCGTGGTTTTCTCCCTTTCGGGTTTCCACGTAAAAACTGAGCTTGTTCATACACATTTATACATATATCTACTATATCGTGTTGGATTAAACTCAACACTGGCGCCGTCTGTGGGAATCTGTCCAAAAAGATTA